ACATCTTAAAATCTCTGCAAAAAGTATGAAGAAAAATATTTAGAAAGCAACTCGCGAGAAGAGGGAAAAAAACTCGCAAAGCCCAGCACCCCACGGCTTAGCTCAATCACATGGCCACAAGAGGGCCCAGCCCTCACTTTCTCTTTCTTCTAGCACAGGCCCAAACTGCAAGAGCCTAGCAGCATGCCAGGCCTCATGGCCCGAGCCCCTACCACCCTTTTCTCGCACCTAGCGCACTAATGTGATAATTATAAGCACACAAATTAAACCCTCTTTTTATCAGTTGTAGTGAAGTATGTAAGTAGGGATCGTTCTGGACCGGGGATTAGGAGGGATTGTTAATCACTTGGATTTGACTCAAAAACGTAAAAACACAATATAAGACACCAAACTAGACCCAAAGAATGCAAAACTAAAGTTTAAAACACTAAGACAAACCAAAAGACTCAAAACAGCAAGAAAACATTCAAAACTGCCTTAAAACTACTTTCTGAGCAGTTTAAGCACTAGAGAAGAATTTGGACGAAAATAGTTATACTTGACTCAAGATACTCTAAAAACACAAACTAAATTGATTTCTAACTAATTTGACACTCCAAGTAAAGGGGGATTTTGATTTTGACGAATTTGGAAACAAAACTTAATACTTTGTAAAACGAACAGATTTTAAAAACTAATTTGATGGAATTGAATGGATGGGAAGCTAGCTAAGGGGTTCATCTCCACACATGTTATACTTGCACACAAAACGATTTCTAATTGCTTTTCAATAAACCATGAATTCTCAACGCCCCAGATTAACCGTGAATTGCACTAATTAACCCTCAGATTTTCCTAACGTTATTGAATTGGATGATTGCATACGACAACCCAAAACATTCCCCACAAGTCCCCTACATGATTGCATAATAGAGATACAAGCAAGAATCATTAAGTTCTATGAAAACCATAAGCATTGACGAAGCACTTGTTACTATGATTGCATGAAACTTATGCCAAGAATTTACTTAACGCGATTGAGATCATCAACCTTTACTACTTGTGAATATAATTCCATAACGATTAGGTGAAATTTCCTTATATCCTAGCATCCAAATTATGCATGATAATTAAGCGTGCACTCTCAACCAACACACACAAATCAATGTAATTCACATAGATAAGTAAATTGAATTCACAACTTATGAAACGCAATTAGAAGTAATCAAATCATATCGCAAGCATAAACATGTATTTCGAATTCCCCCTAGCCAAGGGGGGGTTTAGTTCCTCATACGTACAAAACAAAGATAAGTAAATTTAACCATTGAAATCAAGGAAAAGAAACACCTAAAAATTCCAACAACTCAAACTTGAATTGTATGAACGTTTAGGCCCTTCTCCTCCTCTTTGTTGCGGCACAAGGTCTAAGGATAGGTTTTGGGATGTGTTTGTATGTGGAATGGATTGGGGAATGGTTGGGTAGTGTTTTGGAGGGATGGGGAGTGGTGAAATGGAAGGGGAGAATGCTGGAAATGAAGAGGATGCACGGCAAGGGATGTGTTGTTGTGTTGTGGTCTCAAGTGTGTATGAATGCATGGGTTTTTATAGGGGGAATGGGAGAATATGTGGCTGATTGTTTAAGAGTGCATGTGGCTCTTATGATTGAGAGTGCATGTGGCTGAAATAATGATGGAAAAACAGCTAGGAAAAGAATGATTAAAGAGGGAATGCATGTGGAAGTGTGGCTGCAATGATGGAGAAAAGCTGGAATGGATGTGTGATGCATGGCAAAGGCTTTGTTTGGGTTGGAAATGAATGTGAAAGCATGTGAGTGGCAGCTAGGGTGAATGATGATGAATGCATGTGGATTAAAGAGGGAGAATGTGGTGCAATGATGAAGTGGGAAGCTGGAAACGAAAAGGGGGAATGCTGGAAATGAAGGGGAAGGCACGGCAAAGGCTTTGTTTGGGTGCATGTGGCTGAAATACTTCTTGGGAAAGCATGTGAGTGACAACGAGGATGATTGGTGGCTGCAATGATGAAGTGGGAAGGCTGGAAATGCAATGTTATGCACGGCTAGGGATTGGGAAATGCTGGAAATGCAATGTTATGCACGGCTAAGGATTGTTATATGGCTTGGGTGATTAATCCATGGGAGAATATATATGGTTTAATGATGAAGAGTGCATGTGGTTGAAATGATAGAATGGGAAACAAGGCCCTTCCTTGCACGGCAAGGAAGGCAAACACAAAGGGGATACACGGCAAGGACATTGATGATGCAAGAGACTTTGTTTTGTGACTTAGAATAGATAGGAGTCTTCAATGTTGCTCAAACATGAGGTCTTTTAGGATTTAACTTTCCTACTTCAAGTAGGAAACCTTGTTTAAGTAGGAATCATCATCTTCAAGTCTTCAATTTCGTCCATCCTCTTGGCTCCAAGCATATGATATCCATTCCAATCTCTAATTTGCTCCAAAAGGCTCCAAAATGCATCCTTTTGCATACTTTGCCCTTAAATCCTGAAAATACATAAAACTAGCTTAAAAGACTACTTTACTAAGGAAAAACACTTTAAATGCACAAGACAAGCTAAACTAAGGTGCATAAATATGCCCCTATCACGCACCGGCCAGAGCCTAAGGCCTTCCGGCCCAACCTACCAACATGAAAAACCCGGCCCATGCTGGTTTCTCTCTCCCTTCCGTCCACCATAGCAAGTCTGAGCCTGCTCCTCTATGCTTAGCCCACACCAAGCTCGAACCTAAATGGTCTAGAGCTTCACGACTCACCCAGCTCCACGCCCCAGCGCATCTGTCACCTCAACCCGAGCTGAACCTTGCACCTAGCCCATGCCAACCAAGCTCCACCACCGCACCACCTATGCATAGTAACCCTGTGGCACCCTTGCCACGTCCCTCACGCCACCTAGGCCTTTCCGAGCCAATTTTTCAAGTCCCAAGACTCCCAAAAAATCAAGAAAAGGAAAAAATTCAAATTTTCTTACCTTGGTGCAGCCCGGAGAAAAAGAACAACAACGAGAGATGACTCTTTGCAAGGGCAAGAGAAGAAGAAAGCTAAGGGAAGGGGAACAAATTTCCTCTAGCTTCTCTCTTCCTTGTTGGAATGATGATTGTTCTCTAAATTTATGTAATCTCTACTTAAGGCATAATTAAATATGTATTAGGGGCAATTGGTTTCCTTTTCCTAGAAGAAGTCTATCTCCAAATCAAGAAAGAAGATCAAGTTCAAATTGGGAAACAACTCTACAAGCCTATACAGCTTGGGATTTCTACACCTATTGCCCTTTTCCTCAGATACTCTCACGCGCAATTCACACCCCTGAAGGTCCCAGCAGCTAAATACAGCTCACATGCCATTGGCAAGGAAAAGTCAAAGCATTAAAGATAAGGATTAATTACCCACATCCTATCTTTAATATATTCCCAATTGAAGATTGACCCCATTCAAATAAGTAATCCCAATTTAAATCAATTAGGGATAATTACTCCATTATCTCAAGATATTATTTCGTATTTAATATCTTAAGAATATTTCTCCATAAACCTTGGCCAATAGGATGCCTCCATGTGTATGGTAAAACCCTAAACACTATGGTCAACCCTCTCCTTCTATATGTACCCCATATATTACCAAATTTTGGTAAGCTTTTACTACCCTAAAAAGCTCTAAACACTTTACTCTTCTCAGAGAAACTAACTAAGGCATCGGAAATCCATTAGCCTAACCCTCCCTCCAACCTCATGGGCGCATGAGGCTTAGGTCTTTGATCAAAGGTGTTGATTGTTTTGCAGGTGCATTTTCGTCAAAGTTAAAGACAATGAAAATTTACATCGACACAAATAATCGAAATAATTTGGGGCTCAATTTTTTTTTCAACTCTCTCGCATAATGTGAGATTCATAATGTTACGAGATTCAGATAAGAATCTTCAAGAAAAAGGTTTGGCTTTATAATGTCTCCTTTGAATTTATGAAAATATCATCGTACAATTGATAGGAATACCAACATTGTTCTTTGATTATGCATGCAATAATTAAAACAATGAATTTTATCCATTGTCCACTACAAGCATGGGTAACATGTCAAATTACACATGTTCCATATCCACTCAACGCAACCTTGCTCATAAATTTGCCACATGGATAACCCCATCAAAATAAAATAACACCACCACAACTTCATCCATTTTATACTGAATTGTTTCTTAGAATTGCCAACCCAAAAACTTGTAGCTCACAGACTCTCTCCAAGAGGTCGAGATTCACACAAAGATCAATCAGGCAATTGCAATAAGCCTTCCTTACATCCGAATCATTCGAGTTATATTAAAAAGCTGTGATGCTTCGTTCTTGAAGTTTTCACTATTGTCTTGCTTTTACACCAAAGTCTTACCAAATACCCTAGTTTTTCACAGCGCTCTCAATGCAATTGGCAAGCTTGCAAAGTTCTTTCTTTGATGTTTGAGTCATCACGTTTAGGAGACAACCATAGAAACACTCATCTAGTGTTATAGCCGGTTTTAGAATGCAAGCATGCAAAAAACAAGTAAACTTTGAATACCATTTTGATTTGGTATTCAAATGATTTAGTATTTGAAACCGTAAATAGGCATGAATCGAACTAGAAACAATGTGATACGAGCCGTACGATTTTAATAATAAATTTAAATAGAACTACCCCAAACTAAACTGTTGATATTTCCTAATTCTGATTCAAATTTGAAAGTAGAACCGCACAGTGCCCGGGCCTAGCCTGGACTCATCAAATTTCATTAAACCTTCACAAACCAACCACGACGTCGTTTACCCGCTTCCCAGCTTCAAAATTTTCACACCACAAACCTTACTCACTTTCGCAGACGCGCGTGTTCATAACTGACCAAGTCCCCACTGGCCTCCAATAGTTCGAATAGTGTATGTCACTCCTCACAAGGCGCGTGGGATAACAAAGTGAAAATTCCTCAATTTATCTTTTCCAAAAGTTGTTATAATTTCGTTGATGAAGCAATTCCAAACGCACACGGAGAGAGAGAGAGATCAATAAGGATAATTTAAATCGATTGAAACCCTAGAATCGAAAGCGAATTTCAATTGTTTCTTCAATTGGGTGTTTGAGTTTGCTCCTCCTCAATGGGGTTGTGGGAAGCTTTTCTCAATTGGCTGCGAAGGTACAGATATATATATATATATATCTTTTTCTTTTTTTTAAATATTTCGGTTCTAATTAATTTGTTCTTGTAGTTGTAGCCTTGATGCTTAGAAAGTCTGGGAAATTAGAATATTGGATTGAATTTTATCGAAAATTTTAATCTTTTTCAGTTTTAATAGTGGTGGAGCGGGGACAATTGATTTTCCCGCTAAACCGAATTTTGTTTTTGCTATTCAGTTTGATTCCGTTAATACTGCATTCTTTTCGAGAGATTTTTGATTTTCTTGGTTTATGTTTGGCCGATGAGAAAAAAAGTAGGGAAAAAAAAAAGATAGAGCTGAAGCTTTGAGTCTCTAAATTTCAATTGTGAAGAACTTTTGAATCCAGACATGATTGACAATTGGATTAATCGAAAACCAATCTTTCTGGTTGTTTGTTTTACTTGAAAAGCTGTCGATTTTTTATGAGAGGAGTACCTTTTAGCGTAGAAGTATATTTCGATTCTTTCAGTTCTATTTGGCCCTCGATCGTGTAGTAATGTAGGTGTATGTGTGTCGATATGTATCGCCCCAGTTCATTTTCGATTCTTGCCAAAGATGAATTTGAACCACATTATTGCTAGTCCATTGTGAGGCTAAGCCCACCCCTGTAGATATATCGTTTGTTCAAAAAAAGGGATGTGTTCTGGTGGTGAATTAGCATTATTCAGCGTATGTTCTGCCATATGATTGTTATTTAATTAGCATACTCGCCCATTTTCCTTGAGTAACATCTTCTGCTAAAGATTTTAATTTCTTTGGTCCGTGCTTTTGCTTAATGTTTCCTGGATTAGTTTATGGTGTTTTACGTGCCTGGAATTCGATCAGCTAAGAAGCCACTGAATCTAAAACATAACTTAATGTGTGTATCTAACTGATTTCTTTGCTTATTGTACCAGTCATATTGTTTATTAGTGACCCAATGTATGCATAAAGTAGAGACGCATGTCAAAAGTAAAAATTTTAGAGTCTTTCAGTTTAAATGACTTACTAGTATGCTTTCTTTCTCCCCTCTTGTAGCCTCTTTTTCAAGCAAGAAATGGAGCTATCCTTAATAGGCCTTCAAAATGCTGGGAAAACATCGCTTGTAAATGTTATTGCAGTAAGTAAAATATTTGTTTGTTTCTGGTGAAATATATTTTGTAATTCATATGTCCCTGTTTCGTTTTGATGCTGATGGCTTAATTTTGTTTCTTGATGTTATCCTTAGACTGGTGGATATAGTGAAGACATGATCCCGACGGTATGTCATGTTTTCAAGAATTCATTACCTGCGTTTAACTCTGTTTCTAGGAAAATTTCTTTCTTCAAAACTTGTCATTGGATTGCCACAATTATCTTTTACGGTTAATCGGTTCTTTAGATATCTTTCATAAGGCATCTCTTTTGTCTACAGGTTGGATTCAATATGAGGAAGGTAACAAAAGGGAATGTCACAATAAAGTTGTGGGATCTTGGTGGTCAGCCAAGGTTTCGAAGCATGTGGGAAAGATATTGCCGTGCAGTTTCCTCTATCGTGTATGTATTTTTTTACATTTTACATTTTGTAGGCGTATCGTTCAGGTGTTCCCTTTTTCTTTTCCAGATACTACAGTAAACATGTGGTTATTGCTGGTCAGATACTAGGATTGTTAGTATTTTCTTTACACATCCAGAAATTTGATTACCGGTCTTCCATAAGATGTTTTATCTTTTGTAAGCAATTTTCTCCTGTTAAATTTTCGTGACTTTCTTCATTTTGCAGTTATGTTGTGGATGCTGCTGATTATGATAACTTGCCAGTCTCAAGAAGAGAACTTCATGACCTGTTGAGTAAGCCGTCGCTAAATGGTATTCCACTGCTGGTATTAGGCAACAAGATTGACAAAAAGGAAGCTCTGTCTAAAGAGGATTTGACAGGAGAGATGTAAGTGAACCTTTTCATACTTTGTGTTAATTTAATATATGAATTGTGTATTGAGCATCATTTTCCGCCGTGCAGGGATCTGAAGTCCATCACCGACAGGGAAGTTTGTTGCTTCATGATATCCTGCAAGAACTCTACCAACATTGATACGGTCATTGATTGGCTTGTAAAGCATTCGAAGTCAAAAAATTGAGTTCTTTCCTACTCGCACCGATGACATTATCCGTTTAAGAGAGTGGATTTCAATCCGTTTTTGAAGTGACTATCGTTGTTTGCTCGGTCTGGTTTGTTGATATCTGACCATCCGTCATCGTCTTGTGTTATGTGCTTGGCATAGTGTTGTTTTGGTAAACATGTGTTGGAAGACACTATGATTTGAGTTTATATATGTATAGAATTTGACTCTCTGAATTGTAATGTACAGAATTGAGTTGTTGCATATATTATTTTGGTTAAAAAATTTGAGTGAGATAAAAGTAGTGCAACTCAATAATTAAGAATATATCCTAAACTTTTAGCTAATTACGAATTACCTACACTTCAGCTACCCCAAAAAAACCTTTGATTCAACATTGTCGTCTATGAGGTTAGGTCAAATGGTTATTAATAATAATTCCGAAAATTTTAAATCCAAAGATATCGATTTTGCATTTAATTTCGCAATATTGTATTGTATACCTTTAAATCCAAAGATGCCGATTTTACATGCGTTTAAATATGTTTCTGAGAGAGAAAAAAATGTATTGTATACCTTTAAAAAGCTAAGTAAAAACTGTCATTTAGTACTACGGTCTAGTGATATTTCTCTTTATTTGTAAGTCAAAGGTCTTAGATTCGATTCTTGTCAAAAGCTAGTTTGAACCACATTATTGCTTGTCTATTATGAGGTTAAACTCATCCCTCTTCTCTTTTTATAGATAATATCATTCGTTAAAAAAAAAAAAAAAAAAAAAGTAAAAACTGAAACTGAGAGATATTTATTTAGGAATGCTGAGAATGAACTCAATAATTAGTGTATCCGGATTGTTATTTAGTTTATAATTGAGATTTAACAAGTTTTTTTTGTACATAGCATTCCTTTAATACAAGTGAGGCTTTAAATTTAAAAAACTAACGTGTTCAACACCAACTACTGCTTATTTATTGTGAGGCCTGACGCACTTTGACCTCAATATAATTGAAGAATATTAGCAACCTTCTCATTTGAACATTCTTTACTCTCCTTTTAATCTTGCAATGTCGCTTGATGATTGAAACCATCTACACTATTTAAAGATCATCTGTGCAAAAAAGTAATTAAATTTAAAATTGTTTAGTCATCTAATGATAATCCAATAATTATGCAAATGTTAAACGATTTCTAACTTAATTGATTTTGTAAAAATTAATCTTTAAAGAGTAATTTAAAAAATAAATTTTTTGATCATTAAGCAATGTTACACGAGATAAAAATGAGAGCCAAAAATTTTAAGAGAGAAAATCTAAGTGAACATGTTGGTAGCATTACGTGAGAGCAGTTCCACTACTAGGCGGGATAGGCGGCATAATCTCCTCCACCTTCCAAAATTGGTCTCCAGCCAACGATTGTTTGGCCCAGCCTTTAGGCCATGTAACGCAATTTTGATGTTATGGTGACATCGGCTCTATTAAAAATAATTAAAAATATAACTATGAATACATAATCATGTTCTTCTACTTTACACATATTTCAATATCTCAAATATTTCAAGCAATCTTTTATTATTATTCCAAATTAAAAACAAACTTACTTTATATTATTTTATAATAAGAAATAGTAATGTTTTAATATAAATTGTCTGAACTATTTACTTTAAAAGTAAAGATGCACTTGTGTAGTTACTATTTATTACCCAATATTATTATTCAATTTGGTGGATTGAATTGAGCATAGTCGATTAGGATTTTTAGGAGTGAAAGTGCTCGAATAGCATCAAGGAATAAATTAAAATAAACTTGACCGTCTCCCGCTTGGAAGGCGAGAAAGATTAAAGGGTAAAGAACGCCCACGTGGCGCCAAAGCAAACAGAGTCCAAAGGCCACAGTGGAGAGATTCCTTTCTCGGTAAAACTCCTTTTGAGCTCAATACCCACCACCACCAACGCCACTCACTCACCAAGCTCTCTCTCTCTCCCACCCCCCCCCCCCCCTTCTCCTTTGCTGGTGTTCCACCTCGTCGCTGTGTATTTCATGAAGTCCGGAGATGATGAGAGAAAATCAGTCATCGGAAAATTCGAAGCCGGTAAAACTGAAACTTTCTTCAGGTCAGAAAGGGTGGCTTAATAAGTTATTTGGGTTTCGTTTCGTTTCATAACTATATATCTGATTAATTTTTCTCCTTGCTTTTTAGTTGGTTAAATATTTCAATTTGGAAAAGTATCTGTTCCTAATATTTACATGCTACTTCATATTTTTTAGAGAAAATTTGAGTCGTCTGTTTTAAGCTTCTCCGTTGAGGTCGATGGGCAAATCAAAAAGTAGGAAAATGAAAAGAAAAAAAATCAAATTTAAAAAAAGGGGCATTCCGAGAATCGAACTCGGGACCTCTCGCACCCAAAGCGAGAATCATACCACTAGACCAAATGCCCTCGATGTGGTGGCTAATACCTGCAAATCATAATTACTTTGATCTAGGATTTGTTTTCTTTTATTAATACCATTCATCCAGATCCAGTTGCTTCCTTTTTTCTGTTTACTTGTTCCTTATGGATATTTTGTTGGACTTTAATTAATTTAATGTATGCCCTGAATAAGAGAGAAACTTCGGTTCGACTAGGGCAGCTCTTACATGGGACGGGGTTCGGTTGGGAGCCAAATCACATTGGATGAGACCAGTGTGAGGTTGGGTGGGAGTATGCAAAGTACAGGGGTCCAAAGGTTTTGTGAGAGGTGTCCAAGGAATGACATGTTTCGTATCCCTACCCAAGTTTTTCTCCGAAAGTTGGGTGCCCTAGATGAGGTAGTCGCGCTAGTTAAGCTCGTAGATTACGATCATGAGAATGACTTTGAAATTCCCCTCCCCATCCCATTTTTGGAAAGCACATTCTTGGGAATGCTAATCATGGCTCATGGGTATAAATGTGGAATTTTGAAACCTTTGGCCCCTTAGCATAAATTCACTAGGGACTTCAAAGTATTGATTAACTCTCCTTGGTCCTGAAAATCGGCATAAATTAACAAATGGAGCACCGATGCTTTGTGTGGTACAATTGTAAAGTAGGGTTCTCTAGCTAGGGTGCAGATCTAATGGTTTCTTACTAATATTTAGTTCAGTCAGCATCAAAACTGATGTTTGAAACAGTGTCTTCGGATTACTAGGTGTCGTGAGTTGATTTAAGTCCGTGTGCGTGATATCAATGGCATTTCAAGAAATCGAACTCTTCATCTCTTGCAACATGTTTAGAGCAATCCTATATGAATAAAAGAAAAAAAGAGTAAAACGTCGTATGGGCCACATTTTCTGATCAGCTAAATGATGTTTACTTGTCATAACGGGTGCTAGTGTTTACGTAACTTGTGTTCATGTCTTTGTTGGCTTTAGCTGATTGGCCTGATTGATTAAGTTTAGTACTTTCTGTGGCTGATAATCTCTGATCCTCTGTTTCAAGTGTTTTGCAATTTCTTTCTGCTCGAGTTTTTGTTAGGCGTTATGTGTGGATTTCTGGCTAAGATGAAATAGGATTATAGGATTAAAATGAAACCTAAAAAGTTACAAAAAAAGGGGCATTCCGAGAATCGAACTCGGGACCTCTCGCACCCAAAGCGAGAATCATACCACTAGACCAAATGCCCTCACAATCGGTAATTACACGTGGAAATGGTAATTATCTTAATCTGTGATTAGTTTTTTATGCTATTGCATTGATCCAGTTTCTCCTATTGCCATATACTTGGTTCTTGTGGATACGGCATCTGACCTCTTATGTTGTGTTTCCCATATAGTTATATGACTGATACAATAAAATGCGGAATTCTACTTAAAATACTAGTAGCTTAACATTAAGTATCGATACATTCGTTCTGAAATTCTGTATAAATTAGCAATTGGAATGCTTCTATGTGTGCTACAATTTACAAGTAGGGTTCTCTAGGTTACACATTTAATCGTGTTTTGCTAATATTTCTTAAAGCTAGCTCCGATCTTTTTTGCCTAAGAAACTAAAACTTGTTCAGAAAACTAAACTTAACATCTTGTGTTGAAGTGCAGGTGTGGTAAAATCTAAATGTTTGAGGCAGGGCATTTCCTGAAAGAGCCTCAAGTAGTCGGAAGCAAGAATTATACGGTGCACCAAGCCTTATCAATAACATCCAAGTACTGAACTCTTCATCTTTCGCAACCAAATCAAGAAGAGTAATGTTCCTCCAAAAAAGAATAGCCACAGGTAACGCAAAAAGGGGCATTCCGAGAATCGAACTCGGGACCTCTCGCACCCAAAGCGAGAATCATACCACTAGACCAAATGCCCTATAAGGATGGTTAGAACGTGCAAATAGTTAATTAGCCTGACAAAGGATTGGTTCTCTTTTGTCTACTCTTCATGTGGATATGCCCGTGGATTTGCAATCTAACCTTCAAATGTTTGGTTTGACCTGCAGATGCGTCACTATCACAAAGACAGTGATGCAATTTGCCGTGGAACTATTCAATATAAGTTGTATTTGATTTGGTTGAATATGTTACGTTGGTTTTTCACATTCTTCAACATAAATAAAGTCTACAATTTTGTATTCGAGGCACTTCTTCGATGGTCCCCGTCTGCCCCGCCTACCGTCATGGGTTGCCACATCCAATGAGGCTAATCCAGCAGAGGATATTTAAAGAAATTATCTGTTTAAGAATTTGTGTAGAGGCTATGATGTTAGTTGATTAGAAATTGACTCCCCCAATTATGTCACAAGTAACATCATGATGAAATTCTAGCAATCGAGTACTTTTAGGCCCATCACCCTACTGTTTTAGTCTTCTTTTTTCCTTTTTCTTTTTGGGTGAACACTGTTTTCGTATTTGACATTAGCATTTTAACACCTCTTTGACGGATTTGATAGAATTCAGACACTCAATCAAGTTCGGAGTGTTGGGATGTGGAATTTGAGTTTTACGGAGAAAAGTGAGATTGAAATGAAGTTGATAAAGAATAGATAAATGATAGTTACCTTCTCCTTTATTTTTAAGATTCAATAATATTATTTGATGATGTGAAACGTTTATTTTCTGTCATTTTTTAAAAATCATCTCTACCAAAAATCAACCAAATCGAAAATCGTTTAACCGTTCGATTATGTTTTCATGATTACATTGTTTAATTGAGGAACATGGTTCATCTATTATTGGATAAAAGGTCAAATGACTAATGAATTTGAATCATCAAATGATGTAGCAAGTGATTCTCTACCACAGTGGTGGATAAAAGTGTTGTCATTGCACTATGGTATGGTTCAAACGCCTTAAATTCTCTAATCTAACATCTAATCTAACAAATCTATCGTTTGATAATATAAAAAAATCAAGAAATAATATTGAAGAATCGTAAACATAATTAACACAAGAAGCTGAAAAGAGAATTTACAAAAAGAAATGTAGCCTGGCAATATTTTCTCCGCAAACTACTAAAAATGGTAAATTAATCTCGAAATTATACGAAAAATAGTAAAAAAGCAGACATAATAAAACATATGTAAAGGAAAATGCTAGAGAGGATATTGGATGGAATGGAATTGCTTTAAGTTCGGAGAGCATGATTGCCAAATGGCCACAGCCATCCGTTTATCTACAAATTTAGCTTCGGAGTCGCCCGCAACTCCCTCCCACCCACAACTTTTCATCTCCCTCCCGCTCTCCAGTTTCCAATAAATAACTAGGGGAGTGCAAACATAGAAGGATTTAGGAAAAAACAACTGGTTAAGGACAACGAAAGCCAGGGTGCTGCAGGCTCTATCTCCCTCTGTTACTTTTCTCTCACTTGGTCTTGATTTCAAAGGGTTGGTGGTGGTGAGTTGAGGTTGTGGGTTGGAAGCCGTAGGCCATGTCAAGCTTTGCAAGCACCACGCAGAAGTGTACAGCCTGCGAAAAGACGGTGTATCTGGTTGATCGGCTGGCTGCCGATTCCAGAATTTACCACAAGGCCTGCTTCCGATGCCACCACTGCAACAGTACCCTCAAGGTACATAATTAACTTTTACATGAACTGTTGCTCGTTGTGTGAATTCCATGCATGCACGTATCACTCTTTTTTCACGTTTTCTTTTATTTTCTAATCAACATTCTGTGAAGTTCAAACCTAGGACATCTTACAATTTGATACGAAAAAGACAATTAGATCAAGAGTTATAATCAACGATTATTCTTCATTTTTACTTTTATTGCCAACATGTGCTTCGATTAAAATACCTGGAATTACATGGTTTTGTTCAATTTCGAAGCGAAAATCCTGTTGAATTATAAGGAAAATTCAGTAATATTCTCTTTTTTTTTTTTTTTTGTGTGGTTTCATTTGCAGCTCATCAACTATTGTTCATTTGAGGGGGTTCTCTACTGCAGGCCTCACTATGATCAACTCTTCAAGCGAACTGGCAGCCTGGACAAGAGTTTTGAAGGTAAAATCTAAAAAACAATTACCTCTGTTAATCTCTTTTATCTTATACCTCTTTTTGCTGGGAATTTTTACTCTTAAAAAACCTGAAAAAAACTTAACTTTGTTAATTTTGTTTCAGGAACACCAAAAGTCGTAAAGCCAGCAAGACCTACGGAAAATGAGGTAAAAGATCTCTTTTGCCAAGTGAGATAAAATTGAAGGTTCAGAATACAATTATTAAAAAACGTATTAAAGACCTTTACTGATATACTCCAGTTATGGACAGACATCCCTTCTTCTTATATTAAAAAACGTATTTTTGATATGTCATTGATAAGCGTCGATACCATTATTGTTGCCAACAAAACATGTCAACATGTTATGGATGCATTACAGACCGTATCAATTCATGCCCTAAAAAAGTAAAGAACAAACGTCATACACAAAGAATTTATGTCAGGGACTAAAGTATGTTGCTAATAAGAATTAAATCTGACTCTTGCAGAATGCCAAGTCGGTCTCAAACTTGTTTGCCGGTACCAGAGATAAATGTGTGGGCTGTGAGAAAACTGTTTATCCAATAGAGAAGGTAAAAACCTACGTAATTTTTTGCTACCATTATATGAAAGCTCAAATTTTCTTCCATTGATTGCATTCAAACCCTTATAAACAAAATCTTAAATTATTAAATTAATGTTCCTCCAAAGGTTTCCGTCAACGGGACTCCATACCACAAGAGTTGCTTCAAATGCAGCCATGGAGGTTGCACCATAAGCCCATCCAATTACATTGCACATGAAGGAAAGCTCTACTGCAAACACCACCACATCCAACTCTTCAAGGAGAAAGGAAATTACAGCCAACTCGAAAATGAACGCGAAAAGCTTACAATGACTGAGCAAGCCAATCCTATGGAGATTGCTGCTGAATCATGATCCATCTCTTTCTCCTTGTGTGATTTCCACCATTTATGTCGTTGGTATGTCTTGTTTTGTTTCTTGATCATTATACATGGGCACTCGGATGTATCGCGAGATTGAATGTATTCGGGTATGAATGGTTTGCTTTGAGGGTTTTACTGCAGCATTTTAAAACATTTGTCGTCTCTATTTTTCAGTTTCTTTCTACTTTACCACGTGCTTCAAAAGAACATTGTTCGACTCCTTACATATGATAGTTATTCCTCTTTTAACAACAAATCGCCGTCTAACACAAGAAAAATATCTCATTTAAATCCCAAAACCAAAATTTTCAAAAGGGTCAATTATGATTCATCTGCAAAACACAATGACTCCATAACTTTTACGTCTCTAGTTATGAGTTCCTTCATATCATTTGAGAGCTCCACAAGTAACAAGACACTGACGCAACTTTCCTGTCAATCACCCAGGCCGGTTAACTCACTCCCGGTAAAGATTGAAACTGGCGGCTACCGTCGTTAGACATTGATGAAGATATTGGTTAATATGTAGAGGCATCATACCATTGTGCCATAAATCTTGGTTCAGCTATTGCTACACCCAAACTGTACAGGAGCAACAGATGAACACATCCATGTGTGTTCACAGGAGGACTGAAATCCCTAATCACTCAAAAGGAAATCAGATTTACAATGAAACCGGTTACAAATGTACAATGACAAGATGCTGCATGAACCTGTATTTGGCCCTCAACGACTGAGTTTAATTTTCTACTTGTTGACGAATCGTCAGTGTATCCGACTCTCTCGTTAGCATCAATCTGTTCAAAGGCAACAGTTATGCTTTGGCGTCTAACCAGTCATGATGAACCATAACCAAAGTTAAAGTAGATCACTGCTGTTTCGGTTGAGAGCCATTTTTGTTCATGTTGTCTTTCAATATTTGCCCTGCAAGTATTAGGAGCTCCACCATCTCAAGTCCAGCAGCATAAACAGAATCTATCTTCTCATGGCTGGGCTCCCCGTAAGCATGACCAGGCTCATTGCGGACACTCTGACCATTGAATTCAACGTCTTCATCTGCTGACCAACTAATCGGTAGGGAGCTGCCAAGTGCAGTCTTCACTAGTTTTGCCTCGTTAATAATGTCGTTGACAGTTTCTGATAGGCTAGCAAATGTGGTACTTCCAGAAGTCACCAACTCTTTGACCTATAAAGTAGATTACGCATAAACACTGAACACATTAATTTCATACAGTAGACCAAAGAAAAACCGCTAACAGACTAGCTTTTGATGTACAGTGTTTCAATGCTAGTGATTGGCTAATAATTAAGTGTGAAAGTTCGCCATATAAAAAACAAAAACATCTTAAACTTCCATCAGACCTTTGAAAGGGATAGACGAAGCCTGTGAACTGTAGTAGTCAGATGCTCCATACTTCCCATGCTTTCTTGAAGTGTTGCTATTTCAATTTTCATTCTGAGACAAAAAATGCGGAAGAAAAAGGAATTTGATCTCATATCTAATATCATGTCAGTGGCAAAATCAACGGTGATGCATGTCAAGAACACACATCTACAGTATGCATCATTCAACTCAAATTTAGCCAAAATGTATTCACAAACCTGGCAAACTCCATGCTATCGAACCTCTTACCAGATAGATTCCCCTCGACATTTAGGCCACTTGCAGCTTCACGTCCCCTAAAGTCTACATTAGCAACCCAACGACTCAAGTACGTTTTCTTCAACAAACTTTTTAGCCTTCCATCCCTTTCATGAGTAACTACTTTCCTATCCCCAATTTCTGCAGGCAAATTTTCTCTATTTCTCCCTTGACCAATTCTCCTGCACATTATCATCGATAGTGCTTTCAGTATGTCAAGTAAAAAAATCACTAAAAGGCAACGAAGAAAGTTACCCTCGAGTAAAGGAAAAATTAACAACACATCTATAATGCCAACATTTCTAAAAGTAAAGCAGAAATCTGACTCTTTAAGCTGATAATAATCCTGCTTCAATTGTGCAAACTCCATTAGAGCTTTTACTTTTTCATTGGTAACCTGAACCAAAAAGAAATAATTGGACAGTTCATCAATGAACCCAAAAATTGTACGAAACTTTTAAGGTCGCACGAACAAGGAAATTCATCTTTGAACCAAAAAATATTCATGCAAATAATGAAATATCAAACTACACAATAAGATGGAAGTATCTGGAGTCAGCAACACTGCAAGTGGTACATGAAGGTCACCATTGAAATGCTTGAACATTATGTGGCACAGTGATAACACCAATAAATAATGTTTGTCTAGTATGAAATGAAGATCCCATATTAGAGTGAGTGGTCAAATTAACAAGGTTTACAGTTAACACACGTGTATATTACAAACATCCACATGAAATTTCACATTTTGTTAGTTCCAGATTACACAGTACTTATAGTGCAGTCTTTCACAAAAAATTTCATGAGTTACCAGGGAGTTGCATACAACATCACTGAGCTAATGAGCAGATCGGTTTAGTTACATTGAGATGAGTGGAGAGAAACAAGTAATCTGACAGATGGGCGCTTCAAAGAAGTTACCTGCAGTAAGTTTCTGTGAAGCTCTTCTATTTTTCTTTCAAGAGCTGCATTCACATTTCTGTCAAGTAAATGTCTTTCTTCCTGCTGTGAAAGAAGCAATAATGTTGACACCTGAAAAATATTCATGGTTAAAGAAAAAGCAACTGCAAATTAGGAACTATCAGATTTCAAGAAAAAGATAAACCAAAAGACCTTGTCCTGCAATGCATGTGCAAGGGCTTCAGAGTAATCGTTTCCTCTAACTGCCACAAACTCTGACGAGTCAGGACCACTATTCTGCAACCAGTATGGAAGATATAACGAGTGATATAAATGTATGAGGAAAATTAGATTAATTACACCCTCCGAACTTCTTTTGAGTTCACCAACCACAAAGAAAGAAAGAAAAAACTCTTTCAAGCAGTGCTTGGCTTGGAGTAAATCAGAAAAAAGGAAGCACTAAAAGTCCACAAAGATGTCTATGGTCAAACATCACTGAGATAGTAAGCAGTTTCCTCTATTCGGGTGCAGTGAACAAACCTTGGATACCAATTGGGGGTCAGCATTACTAGATTTATGCCTTTGGAGTCTGGTTGCATCAATTTGCCTACAATTTTCCTCTATAGCATCAATTACGGATTTGATACTAGCCTTTCCCTCGTTGAGTAAATTCATGATGAGAACTCTATGCTGAGAATGGTAATGATGCAATTCTGCAATCTCATGTTTTATCATTTTATTTGTAAGGATCTGCATGTAAGCCCACCAAATTTACAGTAAGAATGCAATTGAGATTTTTTTTATAATTTTTTTTAAGAGAAAGAAATTGAGATTGAACTAAATGATTTTCGATTAAATTTTTTCAAGCAAGAACTTACTTTTTTCTTTTCCAATTCACCAACTCTCCTCTTTAAATGATTTTCAATTTCCAAGCCCTACATGCCACAAGAAGATCAATTTTTGGAAAAGAGACCATATAAATTAGTGTGCAATGCAAAGCTGACAAGTACGAAGCAAGTTGCTTACCATCCGTAGCCTGTTTTGAAGATTATCTACAGATTTCCTTGTCCTCTCGAGCTCTTCCTCTAATGCACTCTGTCTGAGGATAAGTTACTCAAGTTGCATACGGGACATAAAATCTTAATCTAGTGACAACCGCAAATTTTTTTTAATAAATTAGGCAAAGTTTTCAAATGCAAGCATGATGTCAATTCAATCTGGAAAACTAAACAAGACGACAATATTCTATTTGATTCACAAGGTTCTCAGAAACAACGGTCAATCTATACTTGTCGAATATGGTTGCTAATGTTTTTATTTCCTCAATTCTTAAATCAATCCTTTAGATCTACTATCTCCAGTAACTCAAACTTAGGTTATCATGAATTTATAATGTTTGATATCGTTACCCATTTACCCCTTCACAAGAATGAAAAGTAGAGGGTTATGCAAACTTACAATATATTTAGATGTTGAAGCATCATTAAAACTCCACCATTCTGCAGGATCATGCAAAAGGCATGCACATTTTCTGTCCCAACTTGTACTCTCACATCCCTCAGGGCTTTGCTGCCTGATCTCATAAAATTTATCGATTACCTGTTATGGACATAATATCTCCATAAGAACTATGCGAAATCTTTCTCAAATCAAACTAAGTGAAATAGGACAAAAGGAAAAGAACAAAACTGAGGAACAATGGTCAATGTTAACATAGTTCTAGCTATACCTTGAGCACACACACGTCTCCAAAAAAACCATGCAATATGTTCTCTATTTGCTAAATATGAGTGGACAGATAACTTGCTGATTGTTTGGGACTGAAAGTGCAATTAAATGCTAGTATCTGATTCGCCATGTAACATCTTTACATCCTTACGAACATACATCAGATGTTTCTTCATGATTCAGAAGCGCGCATTCAGAAAGTCACCATGCTTGATGATTTGAACATTATAGATGTACCATGGATAACATAAGGGAGGGAGGAAGAAGAAATAGAAAGGGAACCCAGGATCACCTTCTTGAAAGCTTCAATCTTCTCTTCTTGCATTGCTAAATCACTTTTCAGTTTATCATTAAGTTTCTTCTGTTCAGAACAATCTGCAGTTTGTTCTTCTAACCTGTATCACAAATAAGATGCACATCATCATGAAAGAAGCATGCGTTCACTTGCATCAGAATTTCATCTTGGCTTTATATCTCAAAACAATTGTGGAAATAACGGAAATGCCTAACCACAAGTTCCCGCAAGGACAAGTAGATGCCCAACATATAGGGTACAGAAAGCCAAGATAAAAGAAAGTAAAAGTACAACATTTCTGTGAGAGATATTTTTCACGTTTTCTTTTCTAACATTTGCTACTTATAATCAATTCTCTATTCGTCAAAAGCTAATAGATACCTCTTCTCTATATCACAAAATTTGTTTGACATGAGCTCCTCTTTTTCCTTAGCCTTCTCAGCCTGCGATAAGCAACATAACATATTTAAAATTTTGATTTTCATAAATAACTCATGCAGAAAAGTACTTAATAAGTGCCATACATGCAGAAAATAAGCTTAAAATAAAGGACAGCTGCCCTAACCTCCATTATTGAATGATCTCGTTCAGCAAAAGCTGCAGCCACACAGCCTTGGAAAAATTTAAGCTGCTTTTCTGCTTCCACATTCTAGGCAAACAAATTCAATATATAAGTCCCAAGAACACTACCATGAAATTAATTTGCATTCATTATTGAGATGCAAAAGAGCTTTCGTGTAAGAGAGACCTTTGCAACCTCTGCACCATGCAGATCAGCCAACTGGCCCTGAAGGTACAGAGCACACATGTTAGCTTTCATAAGCAGTTACACCATCAAGGGAAGAAAGTTAAAGATCTCACTTTGATTCTGTAAGCCTCCGAAAGCTCTTCTTGAAGATTCACATTATCTCTGGTGCAAGCAGCTAGCTTCTTTTTCAAGTTTTCAATTTCCTGCTCCAAGCCAGCTGTCCTAATATGACATGAAATTTTAATGCAAAACACATTTATAGTTTTCTTCATAGTAGCACCCCAGGGGGACAAATTTTCCCTTCCCCGCCCTCCACTATATAGAAGGAAAAACAGCTTGATCATATTGACTGGGGACGGAAATTATACCTTTGAAAATGCATCTTAGTGGCCACAACAAGGTAGCTTGGACCAGCTTGTTGTATACACAGTTGTTCAATGTCTTTGCGCAATTCATCACGTTCTGCACATCATCATAATCCACATATATTATTTTTCATGCTATAGATTAGACACTCGAATCCAACTCAGGGTCACAAACTGAACAACACGGTACATACAGAAGCACAACTTATGTGTTTGCAATATGCAGGACCGCACAAAACCAACTTCTGAATTAGCGTAGCATAATGAATAGCCAAATCAATTCTACACACACACACACACACACACACACACAAAAAACATAAATTGGAGATTGATGACACAATAAAATTAGCACACACCATTTTCGAGCTGATGAATTCGAGCCAACAACGATTCCTTATCGCTTAAATCTTCATCCATTGTCAGAAACAGAAGCTGAGGTCAAACCTTAAAAGCATCAGGCAATAAACTTAACAATAACCATAACCAACCCATTCACAGAACATGATTCCCAAGTAAAAAAGGACCCCGTTTCACAATTTGGATATTGCAAGAAGCCCAAAAACCAAAATTCAACAGAATAAAATCATCAAGATCAATAATTTAATTCAAAAGAATACTCGAACGTAAGAGAATAATTGGAATTTAATAATTTTAGGTTTAAGGGTTGGAAAGAAAGGGAAGGACTTCATCTTTTTGGTGTTACCTCAATAAGTTATAGGAACAACGACAACAGCAACGGTAGGAATTCAGATTCAAGGTCGGAGAGGAGAGGAGGAGGAGTTTGCTTTCGTTAGCTTGCTGCAAGAACTCAACCTGAAAGAAGGCTGGGGTGGGGTGGTGGGTGTTTCCGTCTGTCTTTTAATTTTTTTTATTTGAGACATAATTACGGGGTCGAATATAAAATTTTGTTTGTTGAAAATAATATATTAGTGTAGAAAGAATATAGTGTACTGGATTCTAAAATTTATCTACTCTTTTAATGATGAGTTTTCTATTCAATTTTGTACTGACTATTGGTCAAATTATGGGCTTCTTCTAAATTTTTCTCTTCAATGACCGTCGCCAACTATGCTTACGTTTGCTACATTTTCTTCCCAATATTTCTATGGATGCTATTGGTAGACCCGGCAGTTTTTAATACGACATAAAAACGAAACGAAATAACGAGTTTCGGATCAACACGATAATTAATCGGATTATTACCGAGTGACCCATTAATAACAAATTCTTAATGGGAATACACGCGCAGGTAACCCGTTTCAACCCGTTAAGAAAAAAAAATTATTTTGATAATTTTAAAGTTTAATTATTAAAAGATTTATTATAAAATATAACAACCATATTAATATATACAATATGTTCTATATTAAATATATAGTTTTGTATTATTATTCTACATAAGTTTAAAAAAAAAAAAAGTTTTAGTCATTATTTATTTTTATTATGAGAGTTCCTTGTTATCATTACTAGGATAAATTTTACTTAACATGTTGTCCAAAATTAAAATAAACTAGTATAGTATTTGTATAGGTAAGAACTAAGAAGACATACATACAAGTATGAAAAATGTGAAAGAATATATAAACACTCGTAATTCATTATTATTCCTCTATGAGTAGATAATGGTTACACTTACATTATCGTTTAGATTTTTAAAATCCTTCAAACCCTCATGAATAATGTTATTTATTTGAGGGAAAATTAATAATAATTATTGTAGAAGTGTACAAAATGTAAAAAGAATATACAATCACTCATCGTGACAAACTTTACAACTTTCATGAAGGGATTAGCTTCAAAATCCAACACTATAATTCATAAACCTTAAATTTATATTTAACTGTCGATTGTCATTTACGCTTTATTCTTCTTACTAAATTTCATTTTTAAAATTTTCTTTTTTGAAAACATGATCATCTGGTGGATGTAAGAAGATGAACGACTTAGATATTTGTTCTCACGTTTCGATACGGTTAACTAAAATATAAGTCAATGTCATATAATTTGTAGAAACTTTATAAACATCAAGCAATATTTTCACTAACCATAAAACTTTGAACATAATATCAATGATCCAAACCGTTCATCTTCCTGCATCCTCTAATAGATCATGTTTTCAAAAAAGAAAATCTGAAAAAACAAAATTTGATGAGAAAAATGAAGCACAAATGTAAACAACAATCAATTGTTAAATTTTGATCTATGATTTATATGATTATAGTGGCAAATTTCGAAGTTAACCTATTCACGAAAGTGGTAAAATTTGTCATTACAAGCATTTATATATATTTTTTTCTATAATTTTTACACTTCTACATAGAAAAATATATAAATATATACTTAAAAGAAAATTGCGTTTTTATGTTTTGGATGTGACAATATGGTATGTATATACTTATTTAGTATTATATTTTTCATTTGATTATTTATTGGTTTAAAATATTTTTTCCTTAACGGGTAACGGGTCGGGTCATATTACCCGTTAATATTATCAGGTCAATTTCGGGTCGGGTCATTTTACCCGTTTATTTTAACGGGTGTTACAAGATACGACCCGTTAAGATATCGGGTATGACACGAAAACGACACGAACACGGAAAACACAACACGAATGCCAGGTCTAGGTATTGGTGGCTCGACAGACAAGTGTATATGAAGACTAACTAGTGATGGTAACTTTACTCTGGACCTAAGTGCTACTATGAACACCAAATGACGATGCAGCTTTATCTGGGAGTTGCATCTTCCCCCCTAAAGTGCTCTCTTTTCTTTGGCTTGTGTTGCTAGACAAATTATTGACAAATGCTCAACGAGTTAGACAATCCTTCATGTGCCATATGTGATGGTGATTTTGAATCAATTATTCACGTCTTTAGAGACAGCTCCCTTATTGCTAAAGTTTGGAGAAGTTTCCCTGTTCCAGATCAATTTTTTACGAATGCATGTACTACTAATTGGTTCCAAAATAATCTCTCTTTCAAAATACTTGTCTTGGATAATTTGGAATGAAGACTGATTTTTTGCATTACCTGTTGGCTCTATAGCACTGGCGAAACAAAAATATTTTTGAACATGATTTTTCTCCCCCTAATGATCCCAAATCTGTGATCCTTACCTACTTGAAAGATTGACTTCGGACGAATATGATTCCTTCCGTAAAATCCCTTTGAACACATGCTTTTCTTCATTGAGAACCTCATCATGAGGGTTGGGTAAAGCTTAATGTTGATGTCGCAAGGGGGAGGCTAACTTCATTAGTGCTGACGGTGTCCTTAGAAACTCATTGGGGCATGGGTTTCTAGTTTTTGTGCTAATCTTGGTCGAGATGAGATTCTATGTACTGAAGTTTGGGGTATTTATATTGGGTTGCAACTTGCATAGAATAATGAAATTAAGAAGATTACGGTAGAATCATATTCTGCTCTTGCGGTTGAATTGATTTCAAATGCAAAAGTGGATAATCATCCTTTGAGAAGTTTAGTATTGAATTGTCGTGCCCTTATGCACCAAAACTAGTCTAGTGAAATTCGTCATATCGATTGTGAAAAGAATTTTGTTGCTGATGATTTGGCTTTTTTGAGTTTGTCATGTAGTTTGGTTTTAATGTTTTATGAGCAAGCTCCTCATTATTATCATCGCTTACCAATTGCATATATAACTAGGTCTTATGGCCTCAATGATATTCTATTTTAATCTTTTATTTTCTTCCGGGCCTGTGCCCTGTTGTCAACCAAGATAAAAAAGAATTTATTCACCATTTTAATACGATATATTCAATTGAAATTTTGAGTTCCCTTTGGGAGAAATCCATAAAATTAGAATTTTGAATTTTTTTTTAACTTAGAATTTTAAAAATTTTAAAAATTTTTAAAATTTTAGTCTCTGTCTTCGTTGTCGGGAGAAAAACTAAGGTCAGCATTCGGTAGAACCGTTGCGATATTCCAACTGTATGTGCCGGCAATCGTCATAATAACATAAATATAAGCTCAAAACAGAGGGGGCAAAACTATATAATTGAATCAGACTAAACACTACGATCCAGAAGCATATACATCTTGTTGCTATATGAATGAACTAACTCAAACAATGACAGCATGCCCTAAGCCCTCAAGTTAGTAGGGAAGACCCCGCTCTAAACGGGCGGGGCAGCGCAAAATTCACCTTCAAAGATAAAAGTGATAGCCGCCTCCCTCTATCTTTAAGGCCAAGAAAAACAAGGTAAAGAAAAAATAACAAGACAGCTACAAAAAACTTTTCTATCCCACTGTGAGTCCTAATTTTCTGCGTTACAATGCAGATTTATAGTTTGCATAAGGAAATGAACTGCTGCCATGAACAAGACGGGTCTCAATACCTACTTTCCTACAATGAAACTAATCAAAATACAAATCTCAATCTCTGTGTTGGTGAATTTGATAACATAATTTACAAATACAATAAAACATGCGCCGGTCCCAAGAAACTTCTGGTTCATTGCTCTTTCATCTTTCGAACTTCAATCAGGGACGATTCATCTGGCATATATTCACAGGAAAGTAAAATTTTCGAAAGCTTGGTAGAGATAATGAGACAAAGTTACAATCCAATTACCGTAAACCCTGTTTAGACTAATAACGAAGGTGAGGAAATGTTGTGGGCATGCATGGCTTCATTATAATCATTAAACTAAAAAATAAATGCTGAACTAGAATGACAGCCAGATACATACTCGAGTCCAACAACAAAGTTACATTACGCGCTTAAAACACACACATATATTACAAGGATCTACAAATACACAACATCTTTGTTAGTTGGAGTGCAGTTACGAAGAGAGAGGTTTTGTGCAATGAAGGAGACTGAATTGATTGAGAGAGAGAACCAAGCAGATGTTGAATTCAGGGGAAAAAGAAAAACCAAGTAATGTGTAGTCATCATGTCATCTTGATGATGCTATGTGAGGAAATAAAAAAAACTCACTATGCAAGCATTCGGCCCAGGTTGCACACGCAATTTTCAATTGTGGAGAATAATTATTGTCTTTTGGCTTTTTATCCAAAATTGTCCATGAGATTTGCATAACTCCTTACTTTGGTCTGAGATTTGAAATCAATAAAAGTGGTCATGAGTTAGTCCACCATCAATCATTTTAATCATTCCTTGAAAAATCTCCATTAAATAAAGATAAAATGACAAAAATACCCACAAATTTTGTCAAATCATTTTAACCCATTGTTTATTAAATTGAGGGTATTTTGGCATTTGGTCCTTATTTAACATAATTTTTCAAGGAATAACCAAAATGATTGATAGTGGACAAACTGAAGAATCACTTCTATTGATTTCAAATCTCAAGAACCAAAGTGATGAGTTATGCAAATCTCAAGGACCATTTTGGCTAACAAGCCTTGTCTTTTTGCCAAAAGCAAGCATAAACTCAAGCCAAGATTATAAACTCACAACTTAAGCATTTCAACTCAAGACGAGACAATAAATTCATTATAAAAAAGATAATATGCTATGTGAACTTTACCATCTTTGCAGCATTTCTTCCTTTTAGCGTCTTCATAGCTGCATCAGCCTCCCTGTCTGCCTCTTTCGCTTCTGCATCTTTCACTGCTTGAGCAGCAGCTTCTTTGCGGGTCATAGTCCTCATCTTCGCAAGCTCCAAATCAATTTGGGCTTTCTTCAGGATAGCCTCATCATTGTCAAATTTTAGGGACGCCATGTCTTCCCTCAAAAGGGGATGCCATCAGTCTTCCCTCAAAAGGAGACTCCATTTGTCTCGCCTCAAAAGGATACGTCGAGGAATTTCTTTTGGGAAAACGTTGGAGTAGGTGCAACCCTGAGATTTGCATAATCAATAGAAATGGTCTCTGAGATTGAAAATCAATAGAAATGGTCCCTGAGATTGTCAACCATCCCTGATTTTAGTCCTTCTGTTAAAAACTCTTTAGACAATTTTCAAAGCTTTGTAACTCAATTGATTCTTAACCAAATTCGACCCATAATATATCAAAATGAAGATAGGAAAGTGTAGAACAAGATTATACCTATTTGAAAGCCCAATAGTTGCCGGAGATGGCTGGAAAATAGCCTAAATGGTGACTGGTCCGGGAAAAAACTGGAAAATTCACCGAAAACTGGATAAACTTTAAACGTTCATAACTTCTTCAATACTCAACAAAATCGAAAGTGGCTAACCATTTCGAGTTAACCACTTTCAATCCGTTTTCCGGCCTAACCACAGCGAGTTAGCCGTCGAGAAAGGTACCTTTCTCTTCGTCTCGTCAAGAAGTATGATTTTTGTCTTTGAATCACTTGATTTCATTTAGTATTGAAGAAGTTATGAACATTTAAAGTTTACCCAGTTTCCGACGAGTTTTCCAATTTTCCAGCGGACCAGTCACCTTTCAGGCTATTTTCCGGCCATCGCCGGCAACCATTGGGCTTTCAAATAGGTATAATCTTGTTCTACACTTTCCTATCTTCATTTTGATATATTATGGGTCGAATTTGGTTAAGAATCAATTGAGTTACAAAGCTTTGAAAATTGTCTAAAGAGTTTTTAACAGAAGGACCAAAATCAGGGATGGTTGACAATCTCAGGGACCATTTCTATTGATTTTCAATACCATTTCTATTAATTATGCAAATCTTAGGGACCATTTTGGCTATTTAGCCTTTTTAAAAATGAAAATCCCAATTGAAGCACATGAACAAGACGGTATTGTAGACCAAGTAAATTATATATCCAAGTACCAGCAAGCATTAAGTATCATAATATCCTCGATATTTCTCCTTCTAGCAAGAATCTGCATTAGATACAAAGGCAGTTTTTTTTATTACACTTCATTCAAAATTTCCATCCAACTTCTGCCGATATCAATATTTTCTTGATTTCCATCAACACTACTTTTACATTGTAAATATTTTCATCAATATCCATATTTAATATCAGAGATAACCAAATATAAATCATATTTATAAGCAGAATATGACATTACTTTTCCATTTTTTGTCCAATGTGATCAAAGATTCTCAAGCCATAGCCAAACTCTCTTGAAACTATGAATCATAAATCATTTCTTAACACTTCATTTACTTATGTAAACGTTGGTTTGGTAAGAGTATGGTATCAAATAAGAAGATATGCGTGGCTCAAATATGATGATTTCGATAAAACTTTAATATGTAGAATAAATTAGAATTTTACACAATTCAATCACCAATATCTTCACTGCATTCAAAGTTTGGGGAACAATAAGCCGTCAAAATAAAGCCCTTTTTTTAGTTTATCTACCAAATCTAAGAACAACAAGGTGAAAAACTCAGCCAATCATTGTACTACCATGTAAAAATTAAACCCAATTCTTAGTTGTCAACATGAAAAAATGGACCACGAAAGAAACAAGTTAAAAACATAAGAATGAAACGATTGTATCAGAACCCGGCATGTTAAGCCCCCGCTAAACCTATATCATGGAACTGCTACAGAAGCTGAGATCGGACTGAAATTTTTATCTTAAAGCCCAACCCTAATAGAAAATCCAATAAAGGGGGAAAAATCGGAGTAGGCAATAGAAGGAAAGAGAGAATCGAAGGCATGGAAAAGAAAAATACCGATTTGGACCTCTGCATCCTTCACCCCAAAGCAAGAGCACTGTGCTCTCTCCCGGCCTTTGTTTTTTGGCCTTCTCCCCAAATTCAACAATGAAAACACGAAGGGGAGGGAGACAACTAGGTATAAAGGGGAAAGGTGGACCAAGAAAAGCAGGAAAACCAAGGAAGATAATATATGACTTAGAAGGTAAAATTATTTTTAATTCAAGATGTCCAAATACCGATTTTATTCAAATAAAGAAAAAGTTTGGGAGATTTATGGAAAATACATCACGCAAAACTATTTTTATTGAACTTAGAGAGCATAAGAGAAGAATCGACCTACACTTGTACAAATGGAATGTTAAGCAGCGACCAGATTGCCAGAACCAAGGGAAAAGGCACTACAAGGGCCATAGAAAAGTGCAATTTATCATGTAATCAACCGGATCTCGAATGATTAAATCAGAGAAAATCTAGGATAAAAAACTAGTAAGACTGTTTAATTAGTTGATCTTCTAAACCTCATTAATTAAATCCGGAAATTACCATGTAAGGGAATTTCAGTCAGAACAAGTATGAAGTTGCCAATCACCTATGAAAATGTGTTCCTTGCATGTAAAGCGTAAGTTGACAGTTATTAAAAATTATTATTATCATGTGGCACCTGTAGCTCCAGTTGAAGTGAACATATGCTCCCACATCCAAAGTGGCAGTTTGATCTCCCATACCCCTTTGGCCCTGTTATGGAACTTTCTAGTACTCCAAAAACCACAACCAAGCCCAACCACCCTCATCTAAGAATACTTTAGTTTGAACAAATCCACAACTTTTTTGGAAGTGTTATATACTGCTAGGCATGCAGCATATTCCCATATGATCCTTGTTTTGGAGTACCCATTCCAATATGATGACAAACCTCGGAAAACCTAACCTTTTTATGTATGTGCACATCATTTGATTAATTACCGCACAACAATCAAAAACCACATTGCATACAACAATTCTAACCTTTTAAATCCAACTTGTTTGTAAGTGCATGAAAATAACAACTCCATGCACATTAAGAAGTCTTTAATTGTTTGTTCCACAAAATGCACATAATCTAACACCAAAAGACCATAAAAGCTAAATATATAGGACAATTAGACCACAAAATATATTTACCTTAATCAGTTTACGACTTGTTGTCAATAATTTTAATTTTGCAGACAATAGCCTCTTGAAATCTTGAGGAGCCCAATATTCGTCCTACAAAATAAAATCTCTTAAGGTGAGCTGATTACACAAAATAATAGCAAGAAAATAATGCTAGCATATTATATAACTCGAAAGCATAAAATGACAAATAGATGTAGCCTATGTACTGAGTAATTACATAGCATAATTATTGTTAAAATTATTTGAGATCTTATTCAGCTTATTCAGCAGTATGATCAAATTGAACTATAACCTATCTAAATTATTTGATTTCATGTACCAGATAATCAAAGTGATAACCTTGGGAGGATATGCAAGTGCGTATCGTGAACCCAGAGTAGATGTCATTTATTCAGTGTTGCAAAATGTCAATTTCTTTTTAAAGTTTACGAGGGGGAGGGGTTTGCAATGTAGTAGAGGCATTGTTTCATAATCACTCTTCTTGACAAGGCTAGGCTATCATACTGCGGGGATTACTTTACAAATTATGCTAGATTAGGAGATGAAACTGGACATTCAAAGTTAAGGAGACTTGCACAAGAACTCATTTCTCTCAAAAACGGTGTGTTGTTGTGTGGACTAAACACTGTTCCAACCACTCTGTAAACTTTTTGTTCTTTTTAATTCTTAAACTTTAATGAATTTGAAACCCAAGAGAGCAATTCATGACAATGTCACTTTCACAATGTTGCAGAGGCTTGCCAATGAATATCAACGTTCACTTGTCTTGAACCATGATGTGACTGAAGGCTATTTTATTACCGAATATTGTCAATCTCCGAGCCTATTAATCAGTGAATCTTTGGATCAAATTACATTCACACTTCACTGCCTTTGGCATGAATTCTTGAATTAAAAAAGGAGACAAAAGATCCTCAAGGAAAGAGTGATAGAGAAAGCAAAGTGTAATATAAAACTTAAAGCTAAATATCCGCAACCAAAAGACTGATGTGTGTAATCAAAGATCTCTGTATTTAGACAGAGGCTCCCTGCAAGGGACAACGAATGGATGGTACTACATGCGCCATCCTCTTAATAGTTAATATATTCCTTTTTTTTTTTTTTTTTAACTATTGCGGCTAGCAATTGTTCTTTATTCCCAACCCGGATACCATCTAGAAAAGCAGTGAGAAGCCTCCTATAACTGAAGTGTAATTAAACCCTTTAAAATAGTCACTAGTTCGTGAAGTTTTTCAACTTCATGAAATATTTAGCTAACTGTTTGATACAATCAACCAATGTATGACCGTATACTAATGGAAGCAGGATGTGTCATACAAAATTGTAAAATACCACAAATAATTTTTGTCAGACATAGAGGCTACCTCTATATATGCAGCAATAGTCGTTTTATTAGATCCACCAGGCTCCTTAACCTAGTTATAGCTTCCATGTCCAGCCTACAACCATTAGCATCAACAATAAGCATCAAAATTACAGTAGAGTTCAGAATTTTGAAGTATAACAAGAAATTTTTTTGAATAATTGCTAATAGCCTAATTTAAATTGAATCATAACTAACTTTTAGTCAATAGCCGTAAATGATAAACTACACCTACGATAATTGCAAATAAAAAAGACACTAAAATTTTTTCTATAATGTCATGGTTATTTCAGTGCTAAACAAAAGGATTGAAACATTTGTCAGTAAGCCCTGTAATGTTATTGCTTAACTATAGAAATTATCTAATCAACTTGGGAAAAGAAGATATGAATTCAAAAGGATGACCAGTGTCTTTTTGTTTTTGTGCCCCTAACAAAATAAATATGAAATTGTAATGAATCCATTACTATTGTTCAAACAACCAGTTCGTTTTTGTTTTATAATATATGATTGCTTGTTCAAGTTGAGGGGTCACCATGTACTTTCAACAATAAAGGTCAGTTTAGTTCACAAGGAAATAGAAAAACGAGGTCTGTGTCTGCAAATCATGGAATAAGAGTACACATCGTCAAGTGAAATCAGACTTCTAAACAGGAGGCTATAACATACATACGGAAGGAGTTCATGTATAGATTCATTAAATTCAACACACAAAATGCTCGTGTATGTAAATGACAGTGATTTAACCCTATGGAAGATTTTAGACACCCCATTTGGTTTTGTATATATTATTAATCGAATCAGAACCGTAACACCTTTAAAAATGAAGTAACCAGTTGGACAATTGATTGATCCAACCTGCCTTCAACCTATCACGGTCCATAGTAAGCTACAAATTAACATATAAGATTACTTGTCCCCATTATTTAGCATCTCAAATTATGAAAATTTTTAACAGAGAACTCAACTAGTGAACTTCTTAATCTTAATGAGTATAACAAACAAAATCTCCTACATGTTAACAAGAGAGATGCAATGCTGGGTCCATTCCATTTTTTATTTCTTCATAGTTCAATCAGTCCTCCAATATTAAAATGAAGTCACTAATCTCGCACAGCTAACCAATCTAAACCCTTCAAAATGTCATGAATAACATTAACAAACAAATCAACCTGCTGAATTGCACAAGACTTATTTGTCTCAAAACTGAACAGAATATTTCAGATGGGCAATATTTAAATATGAGAATGGCAATGACTTTTAAAAAACCTAGAAGTCAAAATGAAATGCAATCAACTATAAATCCGTGATCAATGTGAACTGAAAAATGAATAAACCTAGTGACATGCAGGACAGAGACCTAATACTGTTAAATACACTGCAAAAAGTCCGAAAAAAATCTTGTTGCAGGCACAAATCAGTTAAGAGTTCAAAGATAAGCGAGCTTGCTTAGAAGAGAATTATCTTTACACCCAGAGTACAAAACAAAAACAAACCAGAATCGTTTTGCTTCTTCAAGCAGTACATAGAAATGCATTTAAGTTAGACCAAATCCAGATTAAAGCAAGTGTTCCAGCAAAAGGATTCTAAAAGATCACCTCAAACCTTATTTCATCATAAACATTATTAATATGACTATAGAATGGAGAAATAACAATACATACTATTCCATTGCCAATGGCTGACGTATTTGATATTAACAGATCTTGGTTTCTTTGAACAGATTTGCAGCTTGCTTGTAAGAGTTTTTGTCCAATGACAATACTTTCTGTAATCAGAACCATATAAATCCACAGAAACTAAAATCAAGAAACGACAACATAAACAAAAAATTAATTCAAAGAGTAAATAGAAGTACAGTTTATAAACTAAACTTTACAAACAAAATGACATTTACAATAAGCAAGAACAAAACAATAAACTCGATCACAATCGAAAGGGGGCAAAGAGTGGCAACCTTGCACAATTCCATATAAGAATACAAACTAAAGGTCATATATCAAACAACTTTGAAATTGAAACATAATATAAAAGTATTTCTTATACATGCAACCAACAGGCATCTAGAAAATTAAAGATAAATTGAAAATCAACTGTTCGAATCGAGATGTTCGATCAAATTGAAGAAAATTCACAGCAAAACGGAAAATGAAAATATCAACTCACTGAAAGCCCACAAAAAAAAAAAAAACCCAAAAAAGAAAAAAAGAAAAGAAGAAGAAAACTGACCTTAAAACAAAGAACTATACACAGAACAGAGAGATGCATCCCCAAAATGAGAGAAAATGACAGAAAACGAAATAAATAAAGGAACCCCCAAAACCTGACCTAACAGTGCAACAAAATCCGGAAATAATTCACAGCAAAAGGTCTGAAATGATGACAATCTATTCTAACAGTAAAGAATCCAATAAAAAATGGAACTTAGCTTTCGAAATACAGCCACTCATCCGACACGCAAAAGGGAGAATAGAGAGAGAGAGATCGAAGTACCGTTAGTTAAAGAGTGGACGGCGTCGGTTCTCAGAGCACAGTAATCCCTGAAGATCTCTTCCGCCGTTGGCGGACTCGAGCCCATCTCCCTGCTCCTCTCCTTCATCTCACCGAAGCTCTCGAGTTACAGAAATGGAGGGCAGTTTGTGTGGTTTTGGTTTTAGGAAGCAGGAGCCGATGCTATTCCAGAGATGGTGTTGTGGCTGCTAGGGTTTGAGTAGGAGCGACATAGGAAGAGTGAGAGATGGGAGGAGAGCGCACGCTTCTAACCCAGCAATCCGTGCCAAACCAAACGGATAAAATTACCCTCCCAACCCAGCCTCATCTGGCTGGTATTGTTGTAAATAGCATGAAATCGAGTGGTTCCGTGCTGATACGGACAAAATCACCCTCTGAACTTTTGAGAATTACCCTCCCAATCCAGCCTAATTTAGTTGGCATTTTTGTAAATAGAGTGAAATCGAGTGGCATTTTCTTGACTGTAGCCATGAACAGGACAATTCCCCTCCAACTTTAGAATAGATAATTTAAACATGTTGAAATATTAAAATCGGAACTAGTTAGAGATACGCTCCGGTTTTGATGTTTATATTATTGTCCATTATGAGAGTTTAAAGTACGTGATGTGATATAACTTATATGAGTCGTCATAATTATTTTGAAATTTTGTTAGTTTAGTTAACTTGGAATTACCGTTTTAGCAACAACTAAGAAAAAAAAAAGGCAAGAGTGGGGGGTAGCGAGTGAAAGGCGGGAATGACAAATTTGACGGTTGTATTTGATTTCAAATAGTCTAGTCTAGTTAGTCTCGAATAAAAACTTCACTTTTTCTTGTCTAATAATTGTCTTCATGTCGTTAAGATTCTTATGTTCGACTTCCAGATACAAAAATTGTTACCTAGATGTAGTTGGCCATTATAGTGAACAAACTATATGCGATTCTACATGCGTTACGATATATAATTATTATTTTTATTATCATTATCTTTCATTTCTTCACAATGTTTTTTTTTTTGTCAAATAATAGATTTGTTAGATTAGATGTTAGATTAGGGAGTCAACGGGGTTCGAACCCATGCTGTGGTGCAAGGTCAACACTCATCTTCACTACTATGGTAGAGGGTCACTTGCATTTCTTCACATGGTATGAAAAGTACTTTGAGAAACTATAGATTTTTCTTTTACTTTTTTTTTCTTTTTTGTTTTTTGCTAACACTCAAATGTATTTTGTAAGGAATGTACAAATTTGAAATCTTAATCATAAATTTCCAATTATAAGATATAAGGATAAACTCATACATCTTAGGTTAGTGTCAATCCATTTCACACGATTAATTTGAATGACATTCAACTTAATTGAATTGATAAGGAATGTACAAATATTGAATCTTAATCATAGATTCCCAAATATAAGATATAAAGATAAACTCAAACATCTTAGATTAGTACCATGTCATTTGATAAGATTAATTTGAATGACATTCAACTGAATCAAATTGATAAGGAATGCACAAATATTGAATCTTAATCATAAATTTCCAACTATAAGATATAAGGATAAACTCAAACATTTTAGGTTAATGTCAAGTCATTTGACACGATTAATTTGAATGACATTCAGCTGAATAGAATTAATAAGAACTGTAAATATATAATCTTAATCATAAAATTTCAATTATAAGATACAGGAATAAACCCAAATCTTAGGTTTGTGTCAAGTCATTTAACTCGGTTAATTTGAATGATATTCAATTGAAATAAATTGATAGGACGAAAACTAGGGCATCCTAAACTTTCAATATTTTATTTTCTTTTTCCATCGAGGATAGAAGGGCGATTTGAACTTGTGACTTATTTAACAATCGCTCGTGATCACTTAGAGTTCTTCTTCCATCAATAGGAACTCCCAGCCCGTCCACCACACGCCTAGCATAGCCTTTCTCGCAATAACATCCACAGTGGATCTAGTGTGCTTTTGCAAAAACTCATTGCACCTGAAAATCATTTAGTTATCCAATTGTGACGTGATAAATAGAAGAACATAGTGTTGTTAATAAAAAAGAAATTTTCACAATAAAAATCAAGTAACAAACCATTTTCAATTTGAGTGAATTCTTTCAAGGATGACATATGATTAGTAATGACCGAAAAATAAATAGTTTGGATTACAAGAAACGTTGCGGAGCATGCCCGAGAAAGTAGTTAATGTTATATTAATTAGGTTACTAATTATTGTTTGAGCACTACTGTGTTATTGTCTTTGTATTTCATTTTTTTCACAAGGTATGGAAAGCATTTTGAAAAATTCAAGTATAATTTATAAGGAATGTACAAATATGGAAGCAAATACAATCTTAATCATAAATGTCCATTTATAAAATACTAGCATTTGTCTACACACTTTGTGTGTATGGACACATTTTTTAGAAAATGAGAATGAGAAAGAACGTGAGGGGAGTGGGAGGTTTTTGTTTTTGGTTTTTTTTTTATTATTTATAAATATTGGAGGTATTTTAACATCACATGTAGGTGAGGCTTCAATAAAAAACAGTAAAATTTGGACATGTGAAATTACATTATTGCCCATCATTTTTTTTGTGTGATAGTAGACTAAGTAGTCTTTTCACCCTCTTTTGGTTGACAGAGAAAGTTTCATTAATTAATAGAGATGAGGATAAACTCAAACATCTTAAGTTAGTGTCAAGTCATTTGGCTCGGTTAACTTTAGATGACATTCAACTAAATTGAATAAAATAGGGCGAGAGCATGTGGTCCAAGATGGATTAGCTTAGCATGGACTAAGTAGTATTAAAATTGTGAAACGTTTGATGCAGTGCCTAACTAGTTAGGATTAAATTTTTAATTTTTAGTTTGAATTATGAAAACTTTCACTTTCTTGTCAATAAAACAAAAAAGAAAAAAAAAAGCACTCTATAAATAAAAAGGAAAGGGAAAATCAAATCTTATGTCAAATACCAAAGATTCAAATTCTTGAATTAGAGTATCTTCAAAGGAGAAGTCAAATTTTAAACATAAAATTTGAATTTGAAAGCCTATGTGATATATTGACATCTTTCAAAATTTTGCTCTCTACCCGATAGGTCAAATTAAATTATTATTTTATTTCATTATTTTCTTTTCATTTTATTTTATTAAACTATTATTTTATGCCCCTTCTTTCTAGACTTCTCATGTCACATCCAGGCCCGGGCCCCCACTACATCCCGGGCTTGACTCCACTGTAGCACGATATTATCCGCTTTGACCCCGACCATGCCCTTATGGTTTTATTTTTGGGAACTCACACGAGAACTTCCCAGTGAGTCACCCATCTTGGGATTGCTCTCGCGCGAACTCGCTTATCTGCGGAGTTCCTACGGAACCTGAAGTCAGTGAGCTCCCAAAAGGCATCGTATTATATAGAGGTGGGCATGTACATATAAGGCACATCACCCCTTCTCCGTTGGTCAATGTGTGATGTTACATCTCCTGTCATTTTCTTTCTCCCTTTTTCTGAATCTTTGTATACCTGCTTCTTTTCTTCATTGACAACCTATCGCCCTCTATATGGAGGTGGGCATGTACATATAAGGCACATTACTCCCTCTTCATTGGTCAATGTGGGATGTTACATCTCTTATCATCTTCTTTCTCTTTTTTTTTCTGAATCTTTGTATACCTGCTTCTCTTCTCCATCAACAACTTGTCGCCCTCTACCATCACTCAAACTCACCTGAAATCCAAAGGCCACAACCAAAATTTTCTTTTAACCTTTTAATTTCAATTTTTATAAAATATGTTTGGATGCTGAGAAAGTGTGAGATTTTAAATTACCAGCATGGAAAGACGACGACTTCTCCAATTTCGATTTACAAGTGGAGGAATTGTAGCCAGGGGATTGCAGTCTGTCGATGACGATCTTCCTCGAATCGTAGCCGAGGAATTGCAGCAAGGATTCGAGAGCTCTTGTATGAGCAACGGTGCGAAATGGAGTCTTACATTTGGGTTTTAGGTTGAAATCGTGAGATTGGTTTCTGGGTTTGGTTTTGAGAAAAGGGAAGAAGAAGGACGAGCGGCGCTTCTTAGGCTTGAGTGAGAGAGGAGAGTTGCAGATTTGATTAAAAAAAAATAATAAAATTAAATTAAAAAAATATTTGAAGCTGCTGTCAAATTTGACAGCAAGTAGAGAGATGCTATTCCATGTTATACTATATTATATCATATTTGGCTTCTTGGTTGGAAAATATTGTTGTCTTTTCTTATTGTAATTGCTGAGTTAGACATTTACAAATATCTTTTAGAGATGCTCATATGAATCTTTCCCATCAAAGAGCTGAGTTTCAAAGATATCCTGGTTTTTGAAATGCAACAAGTCGAGTTCTCTAGAACATTGTTGTAATCGAGTGCACATTATACTACCACCTTTCCTTGTAAGAACATTATGAAAACAACACTCTCTTTTCATAAAACCATATATTTTGATTATTTTCCATTAGAATTTCCCAATTTTTAAGACATAAGACTAAACAACCAATGTAAAAGAGATTTAAAAGTTGAAGAACAAAAAGTGAAAACAATGTCTTTAAATGAATGGAGAGGTTGAAGAAGAAGAAGAAGAAGATGTCCAAAACTCGCGGAGATGGGAATTGAAGCTTGGCAACCACGCCGGTCAGAAGGGCTTGGCATCCATGAGGATCACTGAAGCGTTGGGAATTGAAGCATGCAAGAACTAAAGCCCAGAATTCGCGGTGGGATGGCGCAGTTTTCTTCTGGGATTTGATCGGAAAAAATTTGTTGGGTGTGTTAAAAATGGCGTAGGAGACCAAATGGGGAGTGGGTATTGAAGGCCTTGAGGCGTTGTGGCTTAAAGCTTTGTGAATTAAAGCTTGCAAGAGCTCACTATAGCAGAGATGGGAATTGAAGCTTGGCATCCATGGCAATCACAAGAGCTTGGCATCCATGATATCACTGAAGCATTGGGAATTGAAGCTTGCAAGAACGAAAGCCCAAAACTCGCAGAGGGGCAAAGTGGGGAGGGGCGTAGAGCAGTGGTGGTCTTAGCAGTCCGCTAGATTTGGGGGTTTCGTTAAGACCGTATGGCAAGGCGTTTTGTCTAGGCGAGTAATGTGGCTAACAAATACTAGACTACTCTAACAATTAATTCAATCAAGTCCAGTGAAAACTAGTGAGGGCAAACAAACATACCATTAGATCATAATGGATAATTGAAAGTTGAGCAAATATGGTATCATATTCAACATGTTTCTAATTCATTCTCTAAATAACTCGAATATAAAGCCTTTTCCCATGTTATACGTTGTACTTTATCGATGGGCTGCAGATGTGTCTCAACGAAACTACGATCTCAGGATCATGTTGTATTGAGTTGGTCGATTGAATATGTGCGTCACAATGTCCTCATTTTCGCATGACCACTCTTCTTTGTCTTTTGACTTATTTCTACGGTGGTGGCGTCTTCTTCCACAGCGGCGGCTGCGTGTGTATGGTTTGATGTTAGGGTTTATAATTTAGGGTTCTTTTACATTTTGGGCTGCTGATGTATTTTCATTTTAGCTGTTGGGAATACTTTGTATTAGGGCCTTTTTGGGCTGCTACTAAATGAAATGCACTCTCATTACCAAAAAAGGCCTTGCTCCCTATCCTTTGTTATTTAATCTTCACGTTTGCTTGCTTTTGATGTAAAGATTCCATGACGGCCTCCTCAATGTAGAAGCATATTTCAAAGCATCACTTGAAACATTCCTCCAGCTCAGAGGAAATATTCTTCTACTTCTCTTTTATCCCAGAAACAAAATCCAACCCATCACATCAACAAACCCAACAAAGCCAAAACCTAAAAGCTGCCAGAAAATCGTACTTGTCCAATGTCCTACTCCTGTAAAGAACTCTTGTCCAATGTCCTACTCCTGTAAAGAACTTCCAAATCTCCCTAAACTTGCTACTTTAACCTTCAAACCCAATGGGACACATTTTCGCTGGCATTGGTAAGGATTATGCTAGCATCAACCACGCATACATGAAGCCATCACATTTCGAGTTGAGAATTCAAAGGAAACATACTAAGCACATAGATAGAAGATCTAAAACCAATGTAACATTTCAAGCACAAGTTCATATTATTTATGAAAATCAGAGAATTAAATTTTGTTCACAATCCAAAAGGTAAAAACAAAAACTACACAATGTAACAGATAGAAAAATTTGACAGCCCAAATCAGGGAATCAAATATTGTTCACAATCCAAATAAATGGACTTCAGATTCACTTCGTAGTTTTGATCCAAAACTCCATTCAAAAGCAAGCCTCTAGCAGACAGCAACAACACAGAGCAGCCAAACTGCAACATTCATAAAATTGGATAACAAATTAGGGAATGCAGACATTAAAAAAGGACAAGGATTGTCTGCCCTTCCAATTCTAATGCCTTCCTGTTTGTGTGGTCACAGTTAAACCACATCAACATTTTATATTACTATTCATTTTTGTCTTATTATCTCTATAAAAAAAAAACAATATAAAAAATTGACGTGGTTTAACCATGACTATACAAAATAAGAGGACACAAGAGATCACCGAAAGTGGAAGGAAAGACAATCCTTGTCCCTTAATAAAATCACACAGCATAGTACTTGTCCAAAAACTGCAGAACATTATTGTCGCAAGTACAACCTCAAAATCATCAAACAATACCTAAATAACTAGATTGCCCCGGACCCTTGTGACATAAATATACTTACCTAGACGACACTATCTTGATATTCTCAACGAAAAACATATCATCCTATTATTATCGTTGAATGAGTTTAAATTTTGAGATTTATGTAATAAATAGATAAAAATGACAATAATTAATGGAATGCATTCTTCTACACAAATAATGTAATGTTACGAGATTCAACTTTCTCACGCACATTATTATTTGAGAGCTTTAATGAAAAAGGTTTGGACCAACAAATATTTAACCCAAAACCCTCCCAAAATGTTATTTAATCAAAAGGGCTCAAAGTTTAATAAAAAATATTCAAAACTATTGTCCTCAGGTTAAACTTACAAGCCCAACCCGCTACAAATCTACACTTTCGTACTACCCCTAAATGATTCGATATTGTCCTGACTCTTCACCAACCTCAACCCAGCACGAAACCGCCATAATAACTCCCTGTCTTCCTATCAAATTGAATTCCCCCATTTAAAAAACAACTAAATCAAAGTTGAAAAATGAAGCATTCATCGAAACAAAGCCGCCGAAACAAATTCAAAGAAGTTTAATGGTAGAAACCTACGAAAAAGTATCTGGGAAAAAAAAAAAAAAAAAAAAAAGAACCAAAACATAACATTATTTCTAGAAAAAAAAAAAAAAATCAGATATAGTGTTTGTTTTGTGAATGAATAAACAAACACTGTATCTGAAAAAAAATAAAAAATAAAAAACCAAAATCCTAAAACAGTGACTTAAATTCCAGAAGCAGTGACTTAAATTTCAAAAACAATAACTTAAATTTCAGAAACAGTCTATGCTTTCTTTTCTTTCATGCATTAGTTGATTTTATTTTATTTAAGAAACATGATGCTTATTTTGATTTGAATCCTAATACAATGAATTTTACTATTTCTTTTCTAGCTTACATTTAAAAAACAGTGTGTCTATTTCATTTAAATCCAGAAACAGTAACTTAGATTCCAAAAACAATGATACTTAAAATCCAGAAACAATTTATTTTTATAGTCTAGAAAGAATGACCCGCCGTTATTATTGAATAGCATGCAAATCTCAAATTTATTTTCTGGAGAAACAAACGATGAACTCCACTGACGAATAAAAATTGAAAAACAATACCTCAAATACACTATGAAAAATAACTATGATCACATTTCAACGAAATAATACAAAATATAAATTAAATAGCATGATGATCGATATTTTTGTTTCAAAGAAAAAGAAGATCTGCAAAACAACGATGAACTCCATTAACGACGAAAATCTGGAACTCAACCTAAAAAAGTTAGGGATAAAATCGACAAATCATAATTTAAACGATGAACTCCATTAACGACGAAAATCTGGAACTCAACCTAAAAAAGTTAGGGATAAAATCGACAAATCATAATTTATTATAGTTGGGTCATTTTAGTTGGACTACTTTAATACGAGCCTTGTACTAATCATTAAACAAAACTTATAACATGGTTTTTAATTAAAACTAAAGCTTTTCTAGTCATTTTCATTAGTTTTCCTTTATTATCTTGGAATGCCATGATGGATGAGGAAGTCCCTGTCGATGAAAAAAGGGTAATTTGGGAACAAAAGTCATGACCTCTGGTCAAGACTAGGACCATTCGTGTGAACCCGTCTTTCTAGAAAGTGGAAATTGGAGTATCCCTGCACTTATGTGGCAGGAGTCAGGAAAAAGGACTTTCTCCTCAATACTTAAGGAGCCAAGTATATTCAATTTCATAATGTTTGGATGGAATTCCTGTTTTATCCCTCAAGTTAATGAAAAAATTGACGGAATTAACAAAAATGATTATAATACAATAAATAACATAATTCAACAACGGAAGAAACTATTAGTAGAGCACAAAAACAAAAACTAGACTTGGGGCATAGATCATGAACCTTTGCTACAATTTGGCCTTTTTTCTTCTTTGTTTAGTTTTATTTTAATAAATTAATAAATAATAAATAAGCTAGATTATTTTTTTCTTCTTAATAATTTATCCCGGCATCTACATTAACACCATTTTGGATCCGATATCTTCCTACTTCAGCGTACTGACAGAAAATCTAACGAGTTATAAAGGACCAAAGCTCCATAGTTTGGCAAAGTCAAGGGCAGATTCTAATGAATTCCTAATTCAGGGACTAGTGCTACAATTTGAGTCATAATTTCAGGACCATCGCTCCAATTTCCTCTTTCAGAAAAGACTTGTAAGATATGTTTGACTAAAGGACAACAAACCAAGGACCGAGTTGACTCGGTGTCAGACTCAAGAAGACCAAGCCAGATCTGAGTCAAGACGCAAGACTCAAAACTCAGATTCACTAATTTTACAAAGCGAAATACAGAAAGTAAAAAGGAGGACAAGAAAGGGAAGGAAATTACATACCAGCCCTCCATGAGGCCATTGGTGTTGTTCTGTTGTTGAGGGGGAGGCTGGGCGTACCGAGGGGCGTAGGGAGGAGGGTACCCTTGGGGGTACCCCTGAGGTGGAGGGTATCCCTGCTGTGGATACCCCGGCGGCGGATAAGCGTCTTTGGGATATCCTTCCGGTGGATAACCTATTCCAATCACAATTTACACAAACAAAAGTGGCAAAAATACAAAATCAGAACAAACCCCGTGTCACAGAATTTAAAAAATTATCAAATTACTTGGAGATTTTGTACAGATCTAAACATAATCAAGAAAAAAAACCAAACATGCAAAGTCTGCTTACCTTGAGGTGGAGGAACGCCAACTGGGGGCTGCTGCTGGTTGTAGTAGCTCATTGTTGGCGGTGTTCTTGATGGATTGCAATAGCTAACAAATTAAAATGTCGGAAGAAAGAAAAAACCCAGAAAATATCTCAAGTCCTCTTTCTCTTTTGGTTTTTTTTTTTTTTTTTTGGGTGGTTGCTCCTTTTGCTTCTGGAATAAGTAGAGAGAAGTTATTTAATGTGGAGGTACAGAGAGAGAGGTGTGGACAGGCTGTATGTGGGAACGGGTGTTCGTTTTCAATATTATATTTTTTCCGAATAAATAAATTTAAAAGGCAGTAAATCAGGAGGGTGGTTTTACTTGGGGCAAGGAAAGAAAGGAAGGTTTGTTTGTTTTGTGCCCGCCCGCATTCAAATTTTATTTATTTATTTATTTTTTAACAAATTGACAAAATTTTATAATGAATTAGTAATAATACGATTCAAAAAATTCGTTTTTGACGAAAATTAAATATAATATCATTTACTTACAAATAAAAAATAATAACATTAAACCGTAGTATTAAATATCATTCAAAATTTAAATTAATTCGTTTTTAACGAAAATTGAATGTAAAATCCTTTACTTATAAATAAAAAATAATAACATTAAACCGTAGTATTAAATATCATTCAAAATTTAAATTTAGATATGTTTGTTTAAACTGATTTGCACAGAATACCATACTTCCTGTAACTTCTTTATTCTTGTTTTTGGCTCTTTCTTTGACGTTCATGGGGCTCTTCTAGCGTCAGAAATTAACAAAACTAATTTTTTTTGGTTGAAGTGTTAAAAAAATTCAACATTTTAGAACTCTGGAGCATAACTGAGACATTACCTTTTCTATTAATGAAAAGACTTGTTCTTGAGCGGGAACTCCTTCTTAAGACCCTCATAGCCAATTCACGAAATTTCATGTTTTTTATTAAAACGGTTCATAATATAAATTATCATTTAAATATTATTTATGTAAAAATTAAGTGAAAAAAAATGAAATTGTTTAGTTTTCGCAATGTATAAAATAAATGGTCGGTGTCAATAAACGTATTACGAATTGTCTATCCATTGTTTATTATAATTGAGTGACTAAATGACTTTAGTTTAATTGACTTTTTGCAGATGATTTTTGCAGAGTGATTTATAATATAAACGATTTCAATCATAAGCATAAAATTTTGTGAATTGGCGACGACATGTCTTGAGGAGGAACTCCTCCTCAATCTCAAGGAGCCAAGCGTCTCTCTTGTTAATTCAAGAGAGCAAAAGTACAAAAGCCAAAGATTACATGTTGAGGTCTGATAATTGCTTAAAAGTGCATTTTAATTCGCATTCATTGTACACATAAAGTGGGCTAAATTTTTTTCTTGATCCCTGTGGTGAGACACTACTTTTAAATTGACCCATGTGGTGAAAAAAAGTGTTAATTTTAACCCTGTGGTGAAGTTCGTTATCAATCATAGTCCAAATTGAAATTTCTGTCAAAATCTCATCCACATGCAGGGGTAAAAAGGTCATTCCATTCTTTTTTTTTCTTTTCCTTTTGGTAATTCCACTTTTTTATGATCAACAAAAATAGAAGGAAAAAAAAAATTCCCTCCCCAATCCCTACCCTTGTCTACCACAACCACAACGACCACCCACCACCTTCCCCCCTCTCTCTCACAAAACCCTAGTCATCCCGTCCACCACTGTTCTTTTTAAAATGAAACTAAATTCAATGTTTGCATAATAACTTATATTCTAACCTAAATGCAGCGTGGTACTTTGTGATTTTTTAAATCTTGAATTTGGACTCTTAGCTCTCTTAAAATGAGAAAGTCTGATAATATTAACTTTGTAATTTTATTGTTTATTTATTCTTTTATTGTAGCTCTAAAAGTTTCAAAAATAAAAAAATTTATGTCCATATGACGCTTTATGATTGGTTGATGGAATCAATAAAAATGAAAATAATAATTTTGTCCCTACAAATGATAGAAGAATGAGGAAAAATTCAATTTGGACTTTTTAACCACATATGTCTATTTAAAAGTATGGTATCACCACAAGGATCATAAAAAAAATTTGGCCCATAAAGTGCTTTTGTTTAATAATTAATCGATTTTGCGCTTTAATGCTTACAATTAATTTAATGGGTATAAAAGATTGATTTGTATAACTTCTCTCTAAATATTGGTATTATTTTTACATGTGCAGGAGCATAGGAGTTGAATGACGAAGATAAATAATTAAAAGGTGGGAAAGTGGTGGTGCAATCTCGGTAAAAAGTAAGAGGATATTTAAGTTGGGCTAGTAAGCAAAATGCCCAAATTAGATGACCATTGCAATTTACATGCCAAGCAAATAGAGAAGATGGAATTCATGGCTTGTTTACAAATATTTTAAAATGACTAAAAACGCTTTTAGTAAAATTGATTTTGGGTTTCAAAAGTACTTAAAGTGTTTTTTCAAGATTCACTAGATTTTTACTAAGAATTGGTTTAAAAAACATCTTCATCAAAGGTGTTTCTAGTTATTTTAAAAGCGTCCCTAGCGAGCCGGTAGCATTGTAGGGTGAGAAATCAAAGCACGCGGAGAAAATAGGGAGCCAACGATTTTTGATTCTGTGATATTTGCCTTCAGCGGGAATTCATGTGCGATTAAAAGAAATGGATTTGGGTCTCCGTGTCCTGGTATCTCTCTTGGGGTTCAAAGACAATTTCCGTGTAAGGGCAAAGACTTGGTTCCATTTGGAAGCTCTGTCCTTTCTGCCTTCTATTTGTTTTCAATTCTTAGAATTCTGTAATTTTCGTTTATGGAGAACTAATCTCCTTAGCTAAGGTTAGGGGAGAAACCTGTACTATGACTATGTAGTTTTAATATTTCAATTCTATTTTGGATTTTCAATGTTAATTTTACTTGGTGGATGTTCAAGGAAATTTCTTATTTATTCTATTTTCGGATTGATTAATGTTAGTTATGATTCATAGGTTCAATCATGGTTTTGTTTCAATATTCATGCTTTTAGTCAATTGAATAAATTGGTATGATTTCGACAGAGTAGTTTCTTGATATTTTGTTGTTGTAGGTACAAATTATCTTTGGGATTATTTCTATAAGGAATTGAAAGGCCTTTATGTGTTTTGAACATCTACATTGAAGAGTTAATCATCAAACGCTTTTATATTGGGAAAGGGAATTGTTATTAGCACTCCAAAATTTTCATTTTACACTTTTGGCAAGTCTATTTTTTTTTTTTAATTATAGAAAGTTTGGAGTGCTAAATGAGATTTTTGGAGTGCTAATAACAATTCCCTTGGAAAAACCTAATTGTTATATCTCATTTGAGTTATAAATTGAATCGAAATGGTGGAATTGCATAGTTGCATGTAGGTAGAACCTTGATGCCTTAGTGTTCTTAATTGTTGCATTTTTCTTCTAAAAGTTACATCTCATTCAGTATTGTTTTTTGTTTCTGTTTTGACAAGTTCTACATTCTTTTTCAATACTCACGGAGGAATACAACATCGGATTTCGAGGTTATTCTGCTACGCGAAACCTGCACTTGGCTTTAGCAAGCAAGGTCCACCAGTAAACCCATCAATATTGTCTCCACTTAATTAATAGATGTGGTATGCAAAAGGGTTCAATAAAATAGAAGGAACAATTTAATATAAGTTGTCATTTGTTTTCTAAGATGTTGAAGTAAGACTTTCACTTTGTTCAAGAAAATTCGCATAAAGTTAGTAGGTTTAAATAAGAGAGTTTTAACGAAACACTCCCGGTACTGTTTACTTTTAATGAAAAACAATATTTTTACCTTTTCCTGGTACTATTCACTACACCTTTATTTGTCATTTTTCATTAAACTAAAGTTTTTTTTGAATTTTTCGTTAGTTTTCCTTTTAAATGGACCATTACTTGACATGAAAATGAATACATGACACAAATGATAAATATGTTTGAGTTGATCGCAAACATAAGTAACCTAATTTGATAAGAAAAATACGGTTTGCTAGTAGTATATGAAGAAAATAATTAGCTTTTTCAATTTATTGTTGGAAGGCTTTGTAGTTTTACAGATTGGATTGGAATTTTGCCTTCATAGTGATGATATTCAGGCAGCCTTCTATTAAAAGATGCAGCTTTTGTTTTCCAATGTTCACACTATAGGTTGGAAAACATATCCAACCAAACCAAACTTGAATAATCTGGTGCTTATATTGCGAGGTAGATTGCGAAGAGCATAGTGACTTAGGGATTTGCTGTGTTTACTTGTCTTATATATATTGTGAGACTAAAAAAACTAGAGGGCATTGGCTGAAGAAGGGGCTGACACAGGGACAATGGCTGAAGTTTTGGAAAGTTTCTTTGCCAGAAGAGTAGCATTCTTCTTGGCAACTACCATGGCCATTACTTCAAAACCCTTCAAAGTTCAGCCGACTACGGTGAAGTAAGTGTTAGAATTGACCAAGTATTAAAATACTTAAGGAATTTAAAACATAGGAAGGGTGGTTTGTGGTGTAACTTATTTTGGCTTCAGTGTGGCGGATTTCTTTGGCCACTCCTCAAAGACCTCAAGGTTTAGTTAACACTAGCACGAAGAGGGCATCCTTGGAAAGAGTGGGACGACACCCCACCTCAGAGGAGCATAACCGAAGTCTGAACTGCGTGTACTAGTTGGTGTGCTTGTCATGCACCTCCTCGCAGTCCTTGTCCGATTGTGGTTTCTCCCATGTTCGGCCCAGTTGGGAGTGAGTAGACACAAGAGGAACGGGGCAGCCCTGATGATACCCCAGTTGACGAGCCAAGAAGTTTGGATGATAACCTTCAAAGTTGGACCATCTTAGCTCATAACCAAATGGCAAGTTGCGGATTAGTAGGAATGGGCCTCAGTTCGGCCAGATCACGACGTCCACCTTGTCATCCCATCTAGAGGTTAGAAGTCTGAGGGAGTTGGGATAAGGTCTTCAGCAGCATACATGAAGTTCTTTTTTAGTGTTGTACCAGTAGATGTATTATGCCGAATGATCTACAACTGGAAGTGATATAAGCTGAAAGCCCATCGCTTCGTCCCCTTTGAAGGGTGGGCAGTTAGGCCTCAACGACGTGAAGTAGGTTTGTAGCCAGAGTTGAAAGGCCCAGAAAGGGCCATGCTGGTGAGGCTTTATCCCTCCAGTGTGATGTCAAATAGGCAGTGGAAGAGGTTAGCGAGAATGGCAGG